GGAGAGGAGGTAGGAAGACAGAGGGAGTGAGGAGCATGAGCAATAGCATGCAAAACCCCAGCCCTGTTGAGAAAAACAAATGGCTGGAGGGGACTATCTGCTTCTGTCTCTCAGCTCTAATTGTTTCACCACAAAGGACTGATTTATGACACACAGGGGGGAGTGTGGGGTCTCTCTCTCTCTCTATCTGTACCCAAGCTGAAGAATGAGTGAAAGAAAACATGATTAAAGAGAGAAGCACAAGAGATACAGTAGAAAAATTGAGTGCAGAAAAGGTACGATTAGCAGACAGCAATAGGTAGCAATAAGTATAGAGAATTGAGTAGTATCAAAGAGCAGAGTAACATAAGTGGCAGAGGATCAAAGTGACAAATACTCCTCCAGTGACCCTGCAGCTCCTGTCTTTAATGTGAGGTCTGGGAGATTGAAACCTTATTGGCCACAGTTTCTGTGCTCACTCAGCACACCCAACCTAATTTGGTCCTGCCATAACAAGCAACCAGGAGATGGACTCTTAGCAGTTTTTATTGAAAAACAACAACAACAACAACAAAAGATGCAATCTAAAAGAACAACAGGAAAGGGGTAAGTGTGTATTATCTGAAAGAACAGCCAGAGATGGGAGACCTGAGTCACATGACTTGACTCAAGTTGCAAATGAGGACTTGAGACTTCCTTGACTAACACTGGTAAAAGACTTGACTTGACATTGACTTGGTATTCATGACTTGAGACTACATGACCTGAAATTACTTCTTCAGACTTGGTATTCATGACTTGAGACTTCATGACCTGAAATTACTACTTCTTTATAAAATTAAATATTCACATTTTTCTAGATATTGAGAAGTTACATTTTGCAATTGAAACACAATTGGATGATTTCTAGTGCAACGCGCACAAACCTAGCAACCTACCGGAACACACTGGAAAACAAAAAGTCCAGCAATACTTGCAGTGCTTTGGGCAACTTTAATGAGAAGAGCAATGTGTTTTGTTTTGTGGGACTTGATGGAGACATGTGTGACTTACACCCACCTCTGCTGTATACTGTACATAGATGAAGAGCTGACATGACTGATGTGCCCCATTCAGATTGACAATCGGGGAAGTTTGTTTCATTCAGTCTATTTTAAATTAATTGTCTATCGAGACATCCATGTCCCTAAAACACCGTGTGACAATAACTATTATGTTTGAACAGCCTATTTCAGCTGTCCAAAACACTTAATTATCAAGTGGAGAGATTACTGAAGGACTTGCTGAAGACATGCCTAAAAGAAGTCTGCTATTGTGTGCTACTTCAAGATAGAAAAATTAAAAACACTGCTGGTCCATTTTATAACAGTAACATGTAAATGTGTAAGGTGAAACTCTGTACCTGGTCTGTGACTTTAAATGATTCTCAAGCCAGTTAGCTCCTTTGAAAGGCAATTGTAAAATCATATCTTAGCAAACATAACTCGGCATGGCAGATTTTTAGAGCTGTGCATGGATTTCATTTCATTTATTTTAATGCCATTCTTTTTAGCATTTCTAAAATAAAAAAAAGCAAAAGTTTAAGTTTAAATGAATGAATGTGCTTATATGCTCTAATGTAAGATACACACATTAGCTATGTACAGTAGCAGTGCAACCTAGCTATATTTCCAAACCTAACGAGCGCGGAGACACACTTGGTGGGGTCCCCCAGAATGCGGGGGTGGGCGTAGCAGCAGGGGTTGGTGGGGATTATTCTGCGTTTAGTCTCTTTGTGGTGTGGTTGCCCAGTGTTATGTATCTGTGGAAACGTCTGTCCCCTTCCCCAAGCTAGCCTATGTTACAATACTATATAATTTTCTTTGATTACAGCTTACATAGAAGGCGCCCTTAACGACTGCCCACCCACTGTGAAGTATTTTTCCACTGTGTGGAAGCTGGTAACATTATCAGCTCTTTCCTGCTCTTTAATGGATTTGGGAAAATGTATAATCCTGCACCCCAGTCAAACTTTTCATTCATGATAGCTCTACTAGAACACCTAAGGCATACTAGTTAGTCAACCCAAAAACCCTTTATCTTATTATGTTAAAAGTGAAACATAGGGTACTGACTGAATATACAAATAAGAAAGCATAAAATCAGACATAAATCAACCATGTCTTGCTTGTCAAAATAAGCAATCGAAGCAGCCAAACAGGGTTATGTTAGATTGAAATATGACTCTGATATTACACTTTTCTTTATCATACCAGTAATATACAAGCTCTACAATGCAATACAAAAACAGTGATGTTTCTTTACTTCCATCTTCTAATGTGAAAAGGTTCATGATGTGGTAAGAATGCAAAGCATTAACCAGAACATGTAGTTTTAGCCTCAGTCTTTTAGTTCAATAGCATGCATGTAGCTCTGAAGTGTAGTAAGACCCTTTTTAAAAGGTTTGTGTTTTAAAAGCTTAAAACATTAAAAAGTGAGCTGATGATGGCATGTTTAACCAACACACTGAGGTAAGCTTAATTAGCTACTGTACTTGGCTACAGCTGACAGTAGTTACCATGCTAATTCAGAAACATTTGTCATTTCAGCCAGGAAAATCAGAGCTTGTGGGTTAGAAATGAGAAACTGCTTTTGTCTACCACAGTTTGAAAGCAAGGGCCCAGTGTTTCAAAAATTACAAAGAATTTTGAGAGGTAAAGCTGCCACTGTTGTCACTGTAAACTGCAAAGGTGTAGCAAAAGCAGCTAAGTGGGGGCTTAGCGAACAGTCAACTCCTAAGATTAGGAAGACATTAAAAAGAGACATATTTTGGTAACAAGGCACTCTTTACCTGTAACCTGGAAGGTGCATTTGCCCGCTCCAGCTTCATTGATGACATTACAGGTGTACTCCCCCCAGCCATCTCGATTCAGACTGCGGATGGTGTACTCTGTCTCATCTCTTTGGGCGTCAAAGGCTCCAGCATGGAGCAACCTGTTTGACAGAAGCCACTCGAAGCGCAGCACTCGGGAAGGGTGGGCACGCAACACCCTGCAGGTCATCACCACAGGCCTCCCCAGTCCCTGACGCATCTCCATGTAAACCGGCTCCACTGTTGGAGGGTCTGAGTGGGAGACAGAAAGGCTCAGATGACTTTTGATAGGGATCGAAAAGTGTGTTAAGAATGTCAGCATCAAAGAATATAAAAAAAACTTCAATAAAGGCTATAATGACGGTAAAGCAAAGAAAAAGTGTGTGTGGGTGGAGGGTGCACTGACACCTTTACAAGACAGACGCTATACAGGCGAGGTCAGACAAGGTTGTTTCTCACCTCTAGAGAAATTAACAGAGAAAAAATACTAAGAACAGATAATCAGATTAGGTACTGTATGAGGACAAGAAATAAATATATTTCAAACCCTAAACAAAGATATGCTATGAAAGTATGAAAACAAAAGTAAAATGGCTTTGAGCAATATAGTTGAATTTTGTCAAAGACCTTAGAAGGACATAGCTGGAAAGAAAATCCTAGCCTCTTGAACACAAATTTCATGAGCAGACACTAAAACAAAGAGAAACATTTTAGAGGGCAGTCTACATATTTTATAACATACAGTATATGGGAGTAGTGAGCAAAGAGAAAAAGGTGAGATTTAAGCATATTGTGAGAAACATTAACCAATCAGTGCTGCAGAGTCAATACGCCTCACCAATAAAAGAAAAATGATCAGTGAAGACAATTGTGGGGAGAGCGAAAATGGTTGCAGGAAGATCAATTTTGCGGAAAACTAGAACAATTTTCTGAACATAATCAGTCACGCCTCAGAGAAGATTGGTAACAGGGTGCACCTCAAGCTTTCAAAATGAAAAATTAATAACTTATTTGAGTATCTGACAGGCGTCACCTCTTCCCACACAGACAACCTGGTTGTCTGAATTGTTTTGCCAGTTGTCTCAGAGCAAAGTCAGGGGCTGAATATGACCTCAGTGTAACCCAAACTCTGCAATCTGGAAATGTGTCGTTTTTAAAGCATATGTTAAATGTTTGTTAGATTATGTGCATGACCGCAAAACACCTCTGTAAGTTTTTTTTTGTGAGGACAAAATGTATATAAGTGTTTGAGCATGCTAGCACTGAAATACAGTAGCTATGAATAATTTCACCATCTTAAGCATCTTTTGCTCTTGACATACTCCAATGTTTGACAAAAATCACGGCTGAGCTTGAAAAACAACAGCAAACAACACAGAATGACAAAGAGCCCTTTAATTGCCTGAAATCTACATAATTCTTGGCAGGGTAAAGAAGAGGCAGGTTGCTATGCCCAGGGCTGGGGATGTTACTTTTCAAAATGTAATCTGTTACAGATCACAGATTATCTGATTGAAACTGTAATCTGTAACATAATCTTCTACATTATTCACACTTGGTAATATAATCTAATCACCGTGCCTTCTGAACATTATACAATGTACAATTAAATGAATAGTTTATTAAAATTCACAGTATATAATTTGATAACACTATTAATATCATAATCTACACCCTTAATCAGCCATTTTCTACAAATTTACTGATGCACACAATTGAGTTAACCTCAGTCCAGGTTATAGTGTAGAGCAGGTCCTCCAGGGCTCAGGCAAACGTGGGCTGTAAACATACTGTCTGCAATATAAAGTACAACAGTACAAGTACAACACTTCAAAGTGGGATTTTTACTTCCTTTCCCTTGGCGTTAATTATCACAAAACAAACACAACCCTGGTATTCACACAGCAGCTATTTTGATTAATGGCACATCATTAGATTGGATAATGACTGGCTGAAATGTGAAAATAATAAATCATAACACACTGGATGATAAAAAGGAAAGTAAATACAAATCTTCCAAGAGGTTTGGACTGAAAAGATAAGGGAAAAAAAAATCTGTTTCACCTGATGCTGTTCACAAGTTGATGAGTGAAGTGGCCTTTGTCCAGACTGAATGAAGCAGTAATTACATCCTCCTTAAAATTAGCCTTGCCTGGGCTTTTTCTCATCCCTGAGGCCAAAAGAAGGATCTGAATCTCTACTTATCAGATATGAAATTGTGGGTTTTTGTGTGGTAGTAAATCACAGCCTGTCTCCACAGCCTCCCTGAGCGGCACAAGACCAAACGGCAGTAAGGTCATTCCCATTCATACAGAAAGACAAACAAAGTCAGGGTTTGGCTTGGCAACAAATGCACAAAAGGGAAACAAAACACCCTGTAAATAAGGGCAAATGCCTCATCACCCCCCACCACCCACCCCACCCTATGCAGTTCTGTGAAACAGCTGCCCAGTGAATATGAGGAGAAAGGAACAACAGTGAGGGCAGTGAGGGCACTGAGAGCTCAGAGGTGCTCTAAGTCACAGGCCTGAGATGTAATCCATCATCAGTCACTGGTGGATACCTTGACAGTAACGTGGAGAAAAACAACATTTAGGAACACAGAGGCCTTTTCCCCACAGTCCAGGGAGGACAGAACAAGCCACAGGTGTACAAGGGGGGAAATATGTGTGTGTGTGTGAAGCAGAGATGAATTTGCGTGCATGTGTGCATCCGTATTTCTGAAATACTGCTCGACTGGTTCACAATAAACATCAGCTTCGGTGAAAATATGACTGCAACAAAAGAAGGACATACAACTCCTGTAAGCAAGCCTGCAGGAGGTGATTGTACTGTACAGTATGTCTATGTGTACGTGATGTGCTTATACTGACTGTGTGCCTTCCATATGGTTGGATGTTCCTTTGGTTTTTCTTGGTTTTCTTTCATCCTTTTTCTCCTGACAGCAACAGAATGTTTCCCCACATGGCTCACAGTGATGGAACAACAGCCAGATCTTTTAATTAATAAAATAAATCAATAAAATAAATACTCCATTACAAGTACAGTAAAAGCTCCAGATTAAAAATCCTAATTGCACAAATCTATAAAACTATTATAAGCAAAATGTCAAAATGTACTTACAGCTAAATTAGTTTTAAATTAAAATAAGTGCATGAACTAAGATTTTACATATTTTCTAATAAATCCAGTAAACTGGGACAGGACATGGTGTCTCTCAGTTATACTTCCCCCTCTTTGTCACTCTGCTGCCTACAGTCCTTCTGTTGTTACTCCTGCTTCCTCACCCCCCGTTGATGGTTGGCCTGGACCTTGGCCTGCCACCTATAGCAAAGTTCTAAAAAGTGTTTTTCAAACCACGAGTAGTTATTTCAAACAGTCAGCTGGTGGATGCATTTTATAGAGTTTGTCCCAACCAGGCATCCATAGTTCATTCTGTTGCTAGGAGCCAAGATGTGTCATCTTATTAGGAATCTCACCAGACCTTAAGCGGCTGAAAAGAAATTGGTTAAATCATCTTTAAGTAACATTTTGAATGCAGGCCATTTACTTGTAACATAATTCTTTTACACTGTGATTTTCAATCTGAGTACTTCTTTCACCATTACAGTCAGGTGTGCATGACTAATGAGCTTTTTCATTTCAACATTTTTCAGAAAGAACAGCACAGATAGCAATTGTTTAACCATGTCTGTAAATAAGGGCATGAAAGGTAAAGTTGTAGCAATAATGTTGTAGCATTAGCTTTTTAACTCTGCTGCAAAATTATGTCGTATAAGTACAAGTTACCTCCTCACCCTTGTTGTAGGATTGAAGAAAAGTCAAAGTTCTGCTGCACAATTTTGATTTGTAGAATAACATGCTTCAATATTAAGTCTTAGAAGAAACAACATTCATTAAGAAGTCTAACGGATATATGCAGAACATGAAATGATAACCCTGATTCAATTGATTTATGAGTCCCTGTGTTGAATAATGCAAGGATACACTGCTCCGCATCAACACGCCCTCCTTCCCTCACATTATAGCCACTGCAATCAAACTGTGAACTTAAGCACTATCTGCATTACCATATTGTTATTAAAACTTAGGGATAATTTATGAGCTATTATTACAATTAATGATAATCAATGTAAAATCTTCAGGGTGCCAAGTGGCCTGGTGATCCACTAATATGTTTAGCTCAGTCATTGACCAAGTTATAAATTATTCTGTCTAAGCTGTATGCAGGCTTCTGTTTACAACCAACACATTAACTGACCTTTTCTGGTATGGACTTGATGCGGCTGATCAGTTCAATACTGTTCCATAAAAAAGGGTTATTAAAATTTCATCTCCAAATGCAGTATGTGAGCCCTGCTGTAATACAAAATATTAATTTGCTGGTGTTAGGCTAATATGAATCACTCTAATATGATTCACATCAGAGTGGGCCTCAGGGGCTAGCACTGTCGGCCTTCTTGATGCAGAAAGGAAAATTAATTAAAAACAATAATCATTTAATTCTACTCATTACTTTCGTCCAGACAGTAACTCTTTATCCTGGTGTGTCTTTTTGATGTATATCAGATAGCAAGGTGCTCACTCAGGGGGTTGCATCAGGTAGGTGTTAAGGGCATTGTCAGAAGGAACAGAAGGGAAGCCTGGATAAAAGATTCCTGTGCATCTGGGCTGAAGTAGAGCATGACAACTTTCACTCTGACAGACAGTGGTATCTAGGACAGGATCCCCTTCTATACCTCTTTTTCCTTCCAATTCTCTATGTTTCTTCACTTCCTCTCTCCAGCCTGTGGACCATGCCAAGTCAGTTTGGCTAAGAACATTAGGGTGTCACAGCTTGGGATTTGGCGTTCGCAATTCTATTAGAGCGATGACTCCAAAGGCAGACGTCTTTCATTCTCTCTACCTCTCCTCCTGGCGTTGCCTCTGTCAGCCAGCAGATGCAGGTTTTTACATATCAAAGCCGTTGCCTTGCCAGAGTCGTTCCTTCACGCCTCTAATGCTCTTTGCTTCAGAGGACTGCACCTCAGTCTCTTGATCAAGTTACTAAATGCGGCTTTGCACATGGCTCACCACCAAAGGCGGGTGGCTCATGCTGGGACCTGGAAATTCAGGCGAGAAAAGTGTCTCAGAGGGACTGGCTTGTGCTTACACACCATGAGACAAGCCAAGACAAAGAGGGAGGGGGGCGTATGACAGGTGTATAAGGAGCAAACAACAAAATCAGGGCCACATGGTGTTAATAAAATGAACTCTCACACTGACAAAGGTCTAAGTATTTGGCAAATTTATCAGAGTCAACACTGTGCATGTACACATGGTGGACACATTTCACTATTTTTGTCACATTGTGCCAAAGCAATCTCTCAGCACAAGCGTGGATTGTCTGTGCTTTTTAGACTTGGGCTTTCATGAAAACTGTTAATAAGTTAGAAGTGTCTGACAAGCAGAACTGACTCTGAAGTGAGAACATCACAGACTGATTGATTTATCAATACCAAAGCCTTAGTAAATCTCTTCATTATGTGCTCTGATTTGAAGATGACGAAAAGATGAAAATGCAGTATGGTATGAGGAAGTCAAAAAAGTAGTGCAAGAGAGGTGCTTTATTTAAATAATGCTACAGTATGTAATTACAAATAACTGCATTCTCCTAATAAATTATTTTCAGCTGCTAGAGGGTCTAATGAGACACCATAAGCCACTCGTAACCACTCTTCACTCATCACATCTATGGATGCCTCGTTGCGAGTTTTACAAAAGCCTCCAGTCCAAAGCTGGAGTTAGCTGACAAATGAGTTAATTTGTCAGTCCAGCAGAATGCTCTGGTTACTGCGAATATAGCACAACAGCAGTTTAACAAAGTTCAAATTACTCCCAAATTAAAATAATATAAATTCAATTTGACTCAATTCAAATTCAATTCATACAAAGGTAAAATAATGGCCATGCTAGGCTGCTCGTGCTACCATAATAAACACATTAGAGCTCCTCCATGGCTGGCTGTTCAAAATGACTAATCACAGTTTGAAAATCACATCTTCTAGTCATTGTTAGGTGGCAGGCAGAAGCTGAAATAACAAAAGAAATTCTGTAGGCAGACTGTCATGAAGGAGGGTAGCTGAGAGACATCACGTCCTGTACCATTTTCACTTGATTTATCACACAATGTTTAAAGTTTGTTTGTTCTTCAACATTTACTATATCATACTAGATTTAAATGGAGCAGTATGAAAGTAAATAATGAATTTGAAACCCTTCAATTTTTAGTATTCATTCATAAATTCAGCAGCAGATGAAAGTCACTTAATATTTTATAGTCTGATGGTATTTGCTCCTTTACTCCTCCTCAGAAGTCACCTGTCATAGCAGACAATAAGGCAGCTGCTGAATCTATATATTGCACCGTTTTCCTTTATCTGTTCTTGTTATTTGTTTCATTTTATCTGCCTTGTCATCTTTATGGCTAGTCTTGTCAAATTTAACATTTGTTTCCAGATTGAGGAGGAACTTTGTAGAAGCCTTTGTCGCTTTATTCCTCCCCTGCCTTTGTTGTTTTACCCACCCCATGACTCATTTACATTTCTGCTGCAGTTCAGATTTCCTTTCTTCAGCAGCCACCTTTCCAGTTTTGTTTCAACTTGTTTGGCTGTCATGTATAAGCTTTGCAGCTCATCTCTTTTTTAAGCATATTTGGGCCTTTATGTGCTTTTATTATGGGTAGTATAGAGAGGACGTTACAATTCAGGGTTGGCACCTTGACCTCTACTCTATGGAGATGCTTGCTGCAGTGCATGTATGATCAGTGCGTCTGTACTTGTGACTCGAATTTCTGAACTACAGTATGCCATTTTATCTTAATTTTGCATCTTTATTTTGTGACTACTATAGATTTGCATCAAAAAAACTGTAGCAATATTTTGACTTTATTACAGTCTGGAAGAAAGTTTTGCCACAGTACACTGCATGTCAAGGTGATGAAATTCATCATTAAGTAGTAATGCCATGTCAACTGATAATAAATATAGTCGCTTTAGCTTCTCAAAGACGCAAGCTGCTCTAGCAAAAATCGATCCATGCACAAAGACACCAAAGCAGAGAAAAGAGTAATGCCATGTCAACACAGAATGCGTTTCAGCCCTGTTTTTTGGTCATCCATCTCATGTGCCTAATAGCATTTGACTCATGTTACACACTCACAGATGCAGTGTGAATTGCAGTAACCATGTATTGGCCTCTGAGCACTTCCAAAACACAGGTGACCTACAACTCAATACTGTGCCTGAACGCCTCCTGTGTAAACACACCTGAGCTGCTGCTGCTGCTCTGCTGCTGACAGTACATCATCTGTGAAGACACGGTGTAAGATGCTGACTCACCGGCTAGACTGGCATTGCTTATCTCCAGAAGCCACAATGGTGCCGGAACCTGACACAGCCGCATCCAGGAAGCATTAAGAGCTAATATTAATTATCATGATGTCTTCATTGTGAAAAAACAAACAATAAGTGATTAACCCTGTATATTTGCAATTCATTCCTCATATTATATGGTACTTACATGTAGTTTTTTTCTCATAGATTTGCAGATGATGTTCTAGCATGTGATGTTACAAATGGAGGACTAAAAGATACTTTCATAAATGCTGAGCAACTGTAGCTGCTGACCAAAACATGTCTGGACAGTTGGTGCTTCTTTGCTTTTTTCCTGCTCTAATTATGCCACCCTGAGACAAGCAGTATGCAGAATACAGCATGTTCCCCACTGCTCTCCAAACCACAGCAGCAGAAACACTGTGACCTATTGCTGTTTGTGGCAGTTCACTGCTCTCTGCTGAGAGGGAGCAGAGAGGAAAGTGGCATCCATTCTGTT